GGCAACCGCCCGGGCGCACGCTGGCGGGGCCCTGCGCCCTCCGCGGCCAGCCTTACCGCACGGCCAGCTTGTGGCACACGGCTCCCGAGTCGGTGATGACCTCGCTCAGCCGCAGCTCCAGGTGGACCTTGCCCTGGAAGGCACGGGGGTCAGGGGGCCGCGGGGTGCCCTGAATGGGGTCACCCGTCTGCCCGTCAGGTGCAGGGCCGGGCCTGCAGGCAGGTCCGTGGGCAGCGGTGGCCTGGCTACCGGCCCAGGACCGGGAGTCTGCTGCCCATGGGGCTTGCGAAGGAGGGGAGACGCAGCGGAGGAGTGAGGGGGGCTGCTGGGAGCCTCCATGGGGCGGCCGCGGGCCAGCTGCGCCACCTGCTGGGCCCGTCCGCTGCCCGCCCCAGGGCCTGGCAGGCCGCTCGGTGTGTGCAGCCCGCGGCTCCCTCTGGACAGCTCAGCCAGGGGCTGCGCGCCCTGGAGCCCAGGGCGGCCTCGGTCACGGCCCCACCCCTTCCCCAGCGACGGGGCAGGTCGCTGCACCTTCCCCCCACATGTCGTGGCCTTTCACACACAGCACCGGACCCCAGATGCCCCTCACAGGGGGGGTCCCCACCAGGCCCCTCACAGCTGCGCCCGTAACCAGAGGTGGGGACGGGGCGGGAGGGCGGGGCTCGGTCTGGCAGCCGCGCCTCGGAGCCCTTTATTTTAATAGGGCGCAGCCTGGATCTTGGAAGGAGCCAATCAGGAGCTACGCCGATGCGCGAATGGACCAATCGGCCACAGCGCTGAAAAATGGGCCAATCAGACGTGTGGGTGGGGCTCCCTGAGAGGATATAAGCCTGGGCTGCCCGCCACAACCCACTCTGAGGGGAGCGGGCGCTGGCCCCTCAGGGGGAGCCAGGTCCAGTTGGTGGGAGGAAAGGCGGCGTCCGGCACTGACCCGAGGAGGGAGGAAGGGGAGGCCTCTGCAGGGCCGGCGCGCCTGGCCTCTCCCGGAGCTGCTGTTGCTGGTGTCGCCCAACAACCCGCAGAGCTGAGGACACTGGGTGTCCTGACCTCCTGACCCCGCCTCTGAGGGGCCAGAGTGACCACCCCTACTGGCAGTGACCGCCCCTGCTGGCCAGTGCTGGCCGGACTCCTGGTGACCGGTGGTGACCATCACAGACACCACCTGGGGGAGGTGGCCGCCATGTGTGGCCACCGTGAGCTTGTCCCTGGTGTAAGACAAACCCTGTGGCTGCTCCTGGCGCCCCGGGCCTCACAGCCGTGTGCGAGGGCGACCCCCAGACGGACCCCTCCTCCGCCGGCCTGTCCGCGCTGGGCTCCGGCCCTGGCCCCTGCCCAGTCTCCGGCCTTGTTGCCAGTTGGCCTCACAGGGGTGCCCACTGGCCTCCAGGGAGGGGAACCCCCCAGCCCGCGGCCCCAGGCTCACCTGCACCTCGGAGTCGGCATCCACGTGCTGCAGCTGGAACCAGGTGTCCCTGTTGTGGTACTTCTGCAGGTCTTCCTTCTGGATGGCCACCTTCCCTGAGGACGCGGGGCGGGGGCAGAGCTCGGTGAGCGGCAGGCCCGGCCGGCGAGGTCACTGCCTCGGCCTCAACCGGGCGTGTGCGGTGGGGCTGAGAGGCCTCCGGACCTGGCCAAGCGGGCGGCGGGCGGG